CCTGGCCATCTCCTCAAGACGCGAAACAGCTCCGACAATGGCTCGGCCTCGTGACGTATCTCCATCACTACTCGAAGATCTTCGCGGCGACAGTTCGTCCACTGTCGCAACTACTCAAGACCGACGCCACTTGGACATGGCGTCCGGAACATTAAGCTGCCTTTGACGCGGTAGAAACGAGCTTATCTACCGCGCCCGTTTTGATGCTGCCTGACTACTCCAAGCCATTTCACGTGGTATGCGACGCCAGCGACTTTGCCATTGGTTGCGCCTTGATGCAATTCGACGCAGCAGGGCGCGAACGAGTGGTAAACTACCAGTCGCGCCAGCTGAAACAAGCGGAACGGAATTACCCCGTACATGACAAGGAGCTACTGGCCATGCGCTCCTCAAGTTCCGAGTTTACCTCTTGGGCGAACAGACCTTCGTCGTGTACACCGACCACGCGTCGTTGCGAGCCGCAACGAAGAGTCTGCATTTGTCCCAGCGCGCGGCGCGCTGGCCCTCTCTTTTCTCCGAATACAACTTTGTTGTTCACTACAAGCTAGGCAAGACGAACATTCTTGCCGATGCTCTCTCGCGTCGGCCAGATTACGCTCAGCTTTGGTTGCTACGCGATTGGGGACGAAGACGACGACGAGTGCGCCGTGTGTTCTGCTGAAGATGTCACTGCGATGGAAGTCGCAGCGACCAGTTTCGTTGCGCGACGCGATCTTGGCTGCGTACGCGTCGGACGCGGCGTGCTCCGAGCTGATCTCGTTCCTACAGAATCCGTCGGGGCCAGCGCGACACCGACTGTCCCCTCAGCTTGGTTTGCTACGCGATTGGGGACGAAGACGACGACGAGTGCGCCGTGTGTTCTGCTGAAGATGTCACTGCGATGGAAGTCGCAGCGACCAGTTCGTTGCGCGACGCGATCTTGGCTGCGTACGCGTCGGACGCGACGTGCTCCGAGCTGATCTCGTTCCTACAGAATCCGTCGGGGCCAGCGCGGCACCGCCTGTCCCCGCGGACCCGAGCCCGCGTGAGCCGCTTCCGCTTACACGAAGGTTTGCTGACTTACAGTGTGGACAACGACGACTCACCACGCATCGTCGTCCCGCTGGACGACGATCTTCGCGCCCGATTGATTCACGAGTTTCACGATTCTCCCCGTGGTGGCCATCTTGGACGCGAAAAAACCTTCGCGTCCCTCTCGCGCGATTACTACTGGCCGCACATGTACAAGTGGGTGCGTAAATGGGTTCGCTCATGCGAAGCGTGCCAGCGCGTGAAGCCTTCCCCGTTGAAGCAAGCACCGCTTCGACCCCTCCCGGTGGCCTCGGAGCCGTGGTCCTCTGTCAGCATGAATTTCGTTTTCGGCCTTCCCCGCAACGCCCAAGGTCGCACTGGCATACTCGTCTTCGTCGAACGATTCAGCAAGATGGTCTATCTTGCTCCAGTCGCCGCTACGGTCACCGCCAAGAAGTCTGCGGCGACGTTTCCGGATCTTGTTTATCGCCATCACGGCTTGCCAACATCGATTGTTTCCGATCGCGATCCCCGCTTCACCTCAGCTTTCTGGTCAGAGATCTTCCGGCTTGTCAGGACGCGGTAGAAGATGTCCACCGCGTCGCATCCGGAAACGGACGGCCAGACGGAGCGTGCGAACAGGGTCGTTGAGGACGTGTTGCGGAGCTTCGCCACGTCATACACGTCCTGGAGCTCGTTCCTTCCCATGTTTAAGCTCGCGATCAATAATGCGGCTCACGCATCGACGGGGCTCACTCCATTCTACGTGAACTACGGACGCCATCCCCGCGTCCCTGTCCTCCTTGGCATGGATCATCGGTCCCCAGTCGAATCGGACGCGGTCACACCCGCGCCAGTACCCCCACCGAACGAGACAGACGCCTCCGATGCTGCCCCATCAGCGCTTCCCGCTGACGATAGTCGTGAGCAAGCTCACGACGTCACCTCCGCGATTTTGAATGCTGTCACCACCCGGCGTGGAGCCGCGGCCGCTGCGCCAGGTGTGCGCACGCGTGCTGCCACGAAGGCAACACCATCTTCACTGACCACTTGGACGTCCAGGACGCTGATTAACCCGCGTCAGCATCGCTGCGCAGTTGAGTACCATACCGCGACAGGCTCGACCGCTTCACCCGAGCCTCCGCCCGCAAACGTCGATCCGAACCCTGAATCGCTACCGCGTGATGCCGCGGCCGATCTTGCATTCGTCCAACGACGCGAGTCTGTAATCCGCTATGTGCGCGACGCCATCGCTATGGCGGTGGATCGCCAGAAGGAGAACGCAGACAAGCGTGGTCGCAAGAATCTCGCGACGTTCACAGTGGGCGATCGTGTTTTGCTATCCACCGACGGCATTACACCCACCTCTGTGACGAATTGGGGCGCCAACAAGCTGGCGCCGCGATATATTGGAGCGTTCAAGATATTGAAGGTATTAGGTGACGCGTATACACTTCGACTACCTACAACACTACGCCCCCACCCTACCTTCTACGTTGGTCGCCTCCGCCGCTATCACCCTTCGTCTATCCCCAGTGACGCGGATGGTTCCCCGCGTACGGACTTCGGCGATCATCCCGAGGCTCGTCCTGACGTCGCACGCGATGGCGCAGCTCTTGATTCTCCCACTCCAGATACTCCACACGCTGAAGCAACCGCCGTCCGCGGTCCACCCTTTCAGCGTGCCGGTCCCGCTATTCTTGTCGATAGCGCGGGTTTCGTAGATGCCCCTAGAATTGTGGCCGCCCACAAGGCCACGAGGAAAGACGAGAAGCTCTAAGAAGAGGTCAGCCCCGGCGCTCTCCTCGGAAGGCCAATACCCTCTTGAGTTGATGGCAGCTCCCTGGCTAACGGGTGCTACCACCGATCCCCCACGCAGTTGGAAGTCCTCCTGCTACTGGTCGAGGTCATTCGTGATCTCCCGGGGCTCAGCGATAGCACCCTCCACGTCCTCTTCCTCATCCTTCTCGTCCTCTCCGTCCGAGGAGTCGAAGAGGTCCCGATGGGAGTACCGAGTCTCCTTCTCCTCGCGGAGTGGAGACTTGGAAGCTGTACGCTTCTTAGAGGGCCTGGCGCATTCGTCTTTAGAGGCCTTAGTACGCGCAAGACCCTCGGCAAGCGAGAGACGTTTGCGAGGATTCTCTTCCTCATCGCCACCGGCTTTGGGAGTGCCCTTAGCCTTGACGGCCGGACTATCAAAGCGCCCAGACGTCCTAAGACTGTGATCACCTTGATCACTAGCGAGCGACTACACGCTGTCGTCCTTGTGCTCGCTAAGCGCCGGGCTGTTCCCTCCCACAGATCTTGCAGGAGCATCGTGCGTGCTCTCGGACTCGGCTTCGTCCTCCCTGCCAGAGTCGAACTCACGTTCTACGAACCAAGGGTTCGAGCGGTGTCTGGTGAGGCCGAGGGCGACGGGCTGCGGCGCTTGCTTGCTCGCTTACCCACTGCCGCGTCATTCGAGGAACCGATCGCCTCGGAGGCCACCTGAGTAGCCTCCTTTAGGGCCGAGCCTTTGCCGTGAGGCTTAGTGCTCTTGGCTTGCGCCTTCCCGGCAGAAGCCTTGGAGCGTGTCTTAGCACCGCTCTTTGCAATGCCACGAGGCATGGAGAACCGTCGAAGTGGGGGCCAAGAAGGAGAGCGCAGAGACTGCTGCTCGAGGCTCTAACTGTGAAGTGAGCCTCCGCCGCGCTCGCGCGGCCAAGTCAATGGTTTTCGACTTTGAGAATGAGAGTATGTGACGAACACCTCTTCATTCTAATTGGTCGGTAAACCGAACCTAAGTGGGGGAGGATGTAACGGGGTACGTAGCTCTAAGTGTACCCTGGTTACATGAAGTGTGACACTTCACACTTCAGGAGTATGACATGTCATACTTCGGGATATTTGGTACAAAGTACCAAGGTCGTTCAAAGCCAACCATTGGTTAACGACATTGCATTTCTATAGGTGACTTATAGTTTGTATGAGTCCCCAAACTTTATCTACCTATAAATATACTCAGCTTACATTCTACCTTAATTAGGTCACTTCGCTCTCTTTTAACTAAAGAGGGGACCTGTGAGCTGCCGTTCACTGAGAGTTTGTATAATCTCGGAAGATAACTTCCTCTAGCGCAAGGTGCTGTGTGACCCCGTCACAATAAGGGACTTGCACTTAAAACTTGTAAAACCCGACTGTTAACATGTAAGGTGGTCTACACAAGGGCGGATTAAGCTGCCCGATGCACTACTAGGATAATTATCAAAGATGGGCTCTTTAGCTGGCCAAGTGTAAAGTCTAACTTTTGCCGACAACACTACCAGCTGTCTCGTATATGCATAACATCATGTATGTTTTTTCTGCATCACAACGTCTTATTCTAGATTGAATTCAAACTCCAATACAAATTTTGAAGCAGGTAAAACTAATGTATCTTACCACCATGTTTTTCAGAGGGGCTATTGCAACTTTTGCACATGCTGGCAAAGTTCGTCCATTCCTAACAGAAACACAGGAAACAAAAACATGGTCTCCGGCTGTCGGCAGTAATAGTCTCTTCGAGAAAACATCACTAACCAAACAAGACAAACACTCTTGCATTTAGCTAATATCTACCCAGTTTGTAGTCAATCAAAGCCCTTCAGGCCGTCTAGCGGCTAGACTCTAGCCAACGCGCCCTCGTGTCACGAAGTACCTTCGCACATTTGGTGTCTACCCTATTGGTATTCCTGCTCAGGAGAAGGGTCTACCATATTTTGCAACAAGAAGCACCCTCTTGTGCACAGTTTTTTTTCTCGCTAAAAGGTACTTTTAGAGTGGACACACTGTGCCACACAGTTCCTTTAATGAGATGAAAGATACCCACTCGGCAGCAAAATAAGGGGACGTTTTTTAAGCGGGGATATTAAATTTGCATAAAAACCAACTTTATTGCAGAGCAGGACTTCATCCAAGCACCAAGAGCTAGAAGGCATCTACTGGTATGTGTGTCTTTCGCATGATTCCGTCTAGCACGACTGGGCAGAAGGTCGAAAGTTAGGGAATTTGTTTCCAGCGTTTTGCTCGCTGCAAAAGCCGTTAAAGTCGCCTTGGCGGGCATCGGGGACGTTGCAGCACTTCAGGTTACCCTTTCTGTTAGGATCGATTACGCCGCCGGACGAGGCGCAGGACTTCTGGGTGAAATCGGCAGTCAAGAAGCCAGAGCCCTCATATCTGTTGTCAGGGCCAATCCCAGCACACTGTCTTAAAACACCGTGGCTGCTGCAGAGGTTAGTAAAGACGGCATGAGCGCCCAGGTATCGACCAGTACTTACACGGGCATCAGCAGCGTGGCGACAGCAGCAAAAACGATCAGGACCTTCATTTTGAGAAGCGCGTGGAGGTCTCAAGTTGAGAAGTGAGTAGTTTTCGAAATGGTCTTCAGTCAAGAAGTCTCAGTAGATTGCATGACCGGGACCCGACGATCAACAATCTTATATATTTCTGCTTCTGCTGTGTTTGCTCGACGTACTGGGCTGTTTTAAAGGAGATTCCTCAGCTTACCTAGATTTTTCAGAAGAGCCCGTAGAGGTCTAACCTTATGTTCAAGGAAAATATACATGTATTCTGTATGTACCGGTAGCGGGATTATCCAAGATATTCTAGCTTCTTCCTGGCCTACCTAGTAAGCCACCCCACATGGTTCTCATCCATGCAGTCTGCTGTATTCAATTATTTTTAAGGCTAACATTCAGGGTTTCGTTTTTTTCTCCAAAAGGCCAGCCTGGTGTGTGTGTGTGTTTTAGCAATTTCTCCCTTGACACAAAAAGATGTTCCGGTAGCACAATAAAACAGTGTAATTTTCCATAGAGAGAGTCAGCAAGGCACCAACGTGTATTTACTAAACTTTTAAAAGCAAAAGTACCCGCCCCCCGCCCCCCTCCCGAAAATCACTGAACACGCGAACCTTTAACATTGTTATGCTAATTTCTTAAATGTTGCTAAAAATGAACAAATCGCACAATTTTACTTTGTCTGCTATGCAGTCGCGAAAAAATATACGTGTAGCAGAAACAACGGTATACTGCACAGCTGCACAACCGACGCTGTAAAGACTGATGCACGATAGATTGACTTGAAAAGCTCAATAAAAGATTTGTAGACATCCACGACCCTCCAACTTACTTGAAGTTAATGTCATGTCCATTCGAATTACAGACAGGACATATACGTACAGACTGACAAGGCCAACTATAAACAGAAAAACAATTTGCGATGTCTTCTGTTTAGTCACGCTAATGCTACAAACTGTAATTACAAAAAAGGTTTTAGCAGATTACGTGCTACAAGTGTGACTAAGCACAAAATACCGCAAACAAAAGTTCGTAATATGATGGTGACCAAAGTCAGGCGGATGACGGGCAACCTGATCCCAGCAAAATGATCGAAGTAAGTTTTCTTGTTTATGGGTAGGTAGCTTGCCCAAGTTTGTAAATGTCCGTGTACCAAGGATATTTCTAAATTTTTGAAATCCTAGCATATTAAGAGTAAGAGTTATTAAAAATCATCAACCCTTTCAGTACCGATGGTTTTGGTATGGATGGAGATCAATTGGGATATTTCCACTTCCTAAGAATTCCTTAAATTTTAATCCAGAGTTTCTTAGGGACGGCACTCGACCTACAGAAAAACTCTATAGTTAATGTGAGACAGTTGTACAAACTTGCGCTGGAAAAACACTGTTTTTTTCAGTCTTCTATAATTTGGTTAACCTGTTATCTCCTTTTTCATTTTTTATATCACGTGTGGCGGTTTACTCTCTTTGAACGAGTTCGTGCGTACCCATATGTAAATGAATGCATCACTTCGTACCAAAAATAGATCGTTAGGCCTCTTATAACCAATATTCGGTGGACATACTCGTGCCTAAGAGGACATACACTGCAGTTCAAGTGGTCAAACTTTAAGCGTTTGCCTCTTCTGGTTAATAAGCCGTTGGTAAAAACAATGCAAATTCAATGTAAAATACACTAAAGAATGGATTCTTTAGACCTTAAAATGGGGTTATGGAAGTGCTTCGGGCGATAAGCAGGGAGCCCAAAAAATAATATGCAAAAAAAAACTAATCCTAATTTCTTAATGAGAGTGGCTACTGCGCCCATCTGAGGAGGTCTCTTCTTTGTCATGCCCTATTCCTCGTGTGTCATGCTCTGCGCACGCTATACGAACGACAGCGTATACAGTATACTGCAAGGACAGAACGAGTGGCTCCCCCTCATTTGGACAAAAAGAGCAAAGCGGCAAGTATGGAGCGCCGGCCGCGTCCAGCACAAAAGCGCCGACAGTACGCTGCTCCGAGTGAAGATGATAGCGACAACGGTGACAGCGACGCCGAGTGGACACTGCCATCCGGGGACTCGAGTGTACAGTCGTCGCAAACCTCGAGCCAGTTCGAGACACAGAGCGCCCAAGAGGAGGCCTCCAGTGGAGAGACATCTTGTGCCTTAGCCCCCCCAGCTACTTCAGATGCAGTTTGACTCGTGGGAGTCATTCCATGCTTACCTCAACGAGTATATGGCGCAGACATACCAGGTTTGCATCGCTAAGAAATTGTTTAGTTGACAACTAGTCTAATTACTACTGTATATGGCAAGTCCAGGCTCAATACGTGTGCCTGTTAACGGCGAAATTTGGACCGACGATGATGCTTTGCCCGCTCTGTTTTTCGGTGCATCCACGGAGCAAGTGTTGGTTCCAGTCAACTGTAACCTGAACCACTGGTGTGTTATCATGATTGACCTCGAAAAGCGCAGAATCTACTTCTACGATCCGATGGAGTCGACGTACAAGGTTGGAGTCCGTTCAGCTGCAGAACACATCAAAAATTTGCTTCGGGTGCAAGGATTCGAAGGGTGTCGCGTCCAAAGCTATGGGAGCCATCTCGGAGTCCAAACAGATAACTACAATTGTGGTATCTATTTTCTAGTCGCCTGCGAGGTGTTTGCAGGTGCACAGTCGCCGGGACTAATCAACAAGAAGACGCTGCAGTATCTGCGCTACAGATACCTTAGCTTGTGCATTTAAATACATTACATTTTTGACCAAACCAGTAGTAAAATGCGAATGAAAATGCGCTTGTGAGATGTTTCACCCGTAGCTTGCTGTCAGTCCAAGACAGACATAGCCGTATAAGAGTCCGGCTAATCCCGTATAGGAGTCCGGTTAATCGCAGCAAACCCGTATAGTTGCGTGACACGCATCAAAATATTACATTACTGGCTCTTTCGGTAGTTGGGATCAGATGGGCACAAATGGTCGTATGTGGGAGTCGGATGGTGTCGGATGGTGTCGGATGGGATCCAATGCCTCGTCACATTTTCCCCCATATGGGCACAGTAACACGTGCCTTTCTTAATTTAATTATTAATTTACAACAGCGGCAACAAGTTACAGCTTGGGGGAGCGCTAAACGTCACGGAAAATTTAGTCTGCGCTGAATTTAGGTCGCCTGATCTCGAACGGTCATCTTCAAGAGCCGCCGAGGAGTATTCTATTGTGCAAGCGGGCTCAAGAAGCGCAAGATCGTGAAGCGCGCACACTACGTCGACGCCGCGTAGATCCTGCCAACGTCTAACGGGTGGGAGCGCTTCTTCTCTCTCGCTAAGCTGGTGCTGTCTTATCTTCGCAAGCGAATGGCTCCGGCCAGGCCTGAGATGTTAATGTTTCTGAACGCTCGAGTATGGGCCGGAATAGTGCAAATAAAAGAATTATTAATCTGCTCAGCTCCCATCGATGTATTTATCTAAGTATTGCATTTTTGTGTTCTCTGACGACAAGGTTTTTCAGGTCATATACGGGTCGGGGGAGGGAGTGGGATAGGCGGAATGACCCCCTTTGACAAATGGTGTTCCCGTATGTCACTCGCGCGTTGGCTCTCGTCTGAGATTTAGCAAGGGGGGGGGCAGCTTTCCCACCCCTTTCCACCTTACACGACTCGACCAGGCGCGGTAGACGGACATATAAAATAAAGCAAGAGCTTCTGGATACAGCGCTCGCTCCAACAGACCCGCCTGATCGGCGGGCGTTGGCAGAGCGTGAATGGACGGAGTGAGGCTCGCCCTCGCCCGATGGCGTCAATACTTTGAAATACATAACTAATTTTAAAAACATTTTGGCAATTGTCTTCGATCTAAATCCAGACCCGACCTGCATGCGAGCCGTAAAGGTCTTGTAGCTCTTCTGAATCACAAATATCGCTATTGCAAGTACGGTCTGCAGATACATATACATGTACGGTTACCGAGGATCGCTGAGGGCCCCGGCGAGGGGAAGCACACTCTCCAACCTCCAACTTGGAGCCACGCAACCGAGTTCTGGATTCATGTGACCACGCACACTGGTACACAGTACAGTGCGCGCAATACTCAATCGCGCGCGCTTCAATTTTACATGGACATGCACAATAGAGCTCATTCGTACATACAGAGTATGTGTAACAGTACCATTCTAGAATTCTGGAACGCTGTAGTACAATTCTGGAATGGGGTTTACACATGTGGATAGAAACCATCTGATGATTTGATCGCTATATATTTTCATAGTTTGCATGCGAAGAGATAGTAGCCATTATTCGCCCTATCTGTTTGCTGAGATAATGCAAGACGTAAAATGCAGTTCCTCGGTCATTTCCGAATTTTCTATCTACAATATTAGGCCACTATGGTACGCTCCCAAGACCGCTAAGACCGCGCCGCTGAGACGCTCAACGAGGCCGACTTTCGTGCCTCCACTGCCGAGTTATTTGAGCGGGAGGAACGTCGCAAGGCAAAGGTCGCTCAAATCGTCGTACACAGCCGCAGAGACGACAATGACGAAGGGGACAACTCCGGCGTGGGAACTTTGCCGTCCGTCTTTGACTTCTGCTTACAAGCTGAAGGGCCCGATGGGGTGCTCAAGCTCACCAACTTTGCGCCAGAGGAGTTCGACCATGTTTGGGCAGCTGTGTACCCTCATTTGCAGGGGAAATGGAACGTGGGCCACGGTAAAAAATGCCGCTACGCTGCGCGCGACGTTTTCTTTATGACGCTGAGTTCGCTCAAACATCTTAAAAAATGGGACACCGCTGCTCGAGTTTTCAGAATCCCGCCATCCACCTTTCAGAAAATGATCCGCAAGTTTATGGATATACTGTCTCCTATTCTCTACGAAATGTACGTAGAGAATGCGAATGACCAGTGGACACTGAAGAAGATTGTACGATCGGGGCATGCGTTGAAGTACTTCCCGTATGCTCGATATGCTACGGACGTTACCTTTCAGCATGCTAACAAACCCAGTGGTAGCATGAGCGAGAGCTTACGCTATTACAGTGGCAAACACCACTTG